CTTAAGATGGTAAAGTTGCGTCATATTGTGATATAATAAGTATATATTAAATTTTGTCCGTCTAATCACAATAAATTCTTATTAAATATTAAAATATTACAATAACATTTAAAATATTAAATGATGTTCTTTATCGAAATATTCGATTTACATTAGATCATCATTTTTCATGTTTTACGACATGTTTCAGTTCCTAAAAGAATATTTCGATAAAGAACATCATTTAATATTTTAAATATTTTAAATGTTAATTATTGTAATATTTTAATATTTAATAAGAATTTATTGTGATTAGACGGACAAGATTTAATATATACTTATTATATCACAATATGACGCAACTTTACCATCTTATTTTTATGCGTCAAAACTCATTACCTTAACGACGATAATCCTCGCTGGCAAAGTCTACGAAGATTTTAATCCTCCTAAGTCGTAAGTTTACGTTAATACAACTTAGTTTCGTGAGTTCACGGTATATGTCGCCTGTAAACTATATGAAACATTTTAAAATACATCTTTCAAAATTATTGTTGGTTGTTGTTTCGTTCCACGGTCTTTGAGCCATCAAAAGCATGAAAATTGAAGCATAAATAAGCCCTAGTTAAAAATAACTCTTCTACGGCTCTTACTTATCACTTGGAATACAAGCTAATGAACTGCCACTAGCGAGTTTTATGAGAAATTACTTCCCTCTGCTGGATAATTTTTATGACTCTGCTTAGAGCTCCACAGATGTTAGGACGCCAAACTTATCTCGGCAGAACTGGCTCCTCATAGCGAGCAGGAAGATCTTTTTACGACTTGTTAAATGATGACGCGCCTACCAGAACATGTCCCTTCCACTAAAAACAGAGCCCAATTCTTTATTTTCAACTGTCACAAAAATCTCAACGTCACACACGAACAAAACAGAACAATCGACGCTTGAACAGTTACTTAATTATGACACTGACAAAGAAATCCCAGTTTTTGTCATCTGTCTTTCAACATCTACTCCTGAAACGCCATTAATTTACTTGTCATAATAAAATAACGGATGAAACACAAATTAAAAAGAATTAATATAGTAAAAAAATACTTAATTATGGATTACCGTTTTCCGGCCAGGATTTAAACCTTGTACCTTCCCAATGGAGTCAAACGTGCCCCTGGTAGGTATACGACCTGCACTGCACCGATACACGATTTTTTGACGTGAATTTATAAATATATGTAGGTATTTATTTAACCAATAACCTGCAAAATGAAATTAACATCTCTTAACTTCTCAACTATTGATCATCCATCTATTCATACATCCATCAATAAAAGTATCTGTTCGTTGTCCATATTTCCAGTAACAATTTATTAATATATTCATACACAAACAAGCCACGGTGGTCTAGCGGTTAGAACGCTGGCCTTGTAATCCTGGGGTCTCGGGTTCGATTCCCGGCGGTGCCCGAATTTCTAACTTGTGTTGGGCAAGGCCGTGGCCTAGGCAACACGGAGTTTTCCTCATTGGCATCCCAACAATTACTCCATTCACACTCACACAGAAGAAGGCAATGGCAAACCGCTTCTGGATCATCTGCCAAGAACGTATATGAACAGGTCCCAGTCCGAGAAAAGGATGGAAGGATCCTGTTCATATGGACCTGTCGTCAGACAGAACACTAAATAAATAATAAAATATAAATAAATCCATACACACAATCGTCGAAAATTTTCGTATAGTGGTTATCACTCCTGGTCCATATTCGGGAGGTACAAATATCGATTTGACGACCTCAGGACGGGAATGTTCAAATCCATCCTTTTGCCCCTCCGTTGGGAAATTATTTTAGAACAGATTATTACAGTTTCTCCTCCCACGACATAGTTTACAGGCATCTACACATTCACGCTACAGTTAAGCGTATTTGTCCGGTTACCCATCTACCGGCGTTGATTTTCGGGGGTCAGCTCACATGAAAATGCCAACAGCAGTGCAAAGAACGCATCGCAACGGGCTATGAACCACGACCTCTCTCTAACAAGTACGTCGTTGTTGCAGACTGTTCTCGGAACGCGAGCCGAATATGCAGGACATCGAACGAGACGGACAAGTGCACTGGCGGTTCCAACAGTTCCTCGTCGTCGGCCTCGGGTCCCGACGAACGGAAAAAGCGGCCACGAACAGCGTTCACGGCTTCACAAATCAAATCACTGGAGGCCGAGTTTGAGAAGAACAAGTATCTGTCTGTTGCCAAACGACTGCAGCTTTCTAAGAGCCTAAAGCTTACGGAAACACAGGTACGAGTGCTAAAGCGAGTGGTACATATAGTTACCGCTGAGTTTTAAAAGAGTTAAGACATACCACTTTGTTTTCTAACACCTTTAATTTTTCTGTTTCGCTCAAATTAAGTCATAAAAGTTCTGGAAATTTAAAAAAAAAAAACAATTTTCGGTAAGTTCTCACAAATGGTGTTTACAGATTTTTCTAAAGATCTAAACAAATACGATTATAAAATTTGCGCACGGAATTCAGGCTAAAGTTACAGATAATATGAAATACAGGCTGCAAAGTAACACACATGCTTAGTTTTTAATTACTGGGCATTTATCCCCGTCCCCTGACACCGGAAAATTGCCAACCAGCAGCTCTGGTAAAAATTTAAATATATTTATTTTAATACGTTTTTTCCCCCCTTGAAAAGCCTGTGATTGCGATAAAATGTTCTACTACATTCATGCTATGAATTATGCTCCTAACAAGAGCCGAAACCAACAGGTGTGCCTACTCCGTTAAAAACCAAATGCAGGGGCTGTGGGAAGCAAACTCACCCCCCCCCCCTACATCAACCCCCAGCATGTGATACACACACGCGAGAAGCAACAATCTTTACAGTGAACTTCCGAGTCAGACGCCATAATTCACCCTTGTTAAGCGCACAAAATCGCAAGAGGACACTAAAACGGTTGCATCTTCCGCCTGGCGCCAGAGTGTCATCCCACATCCTTCAGACACCCCCTGGGATACTTCAAAGATTCTGTTACAAGATCATCTCATGTAATGTGTTGCACGTGTGGACTTCGAGTGTCAAACATCAGCGGCTTTCCAACTCATCTGGCCTCCATCAACACCAAGTTGACAAAACGACCACTAGGGACCACCACTGGACATCACGCAGAAGCAGTTCAGTCTAGTACTCCTACTATTTACATTTAAGCCATTAAAGCGTAGAGGTAACTAAGTGTCCTACCAGCTTTAAAATCAATGTCTGCGTTTTCATTTGTTTCGTATGATCCTCACTGTAAACAGGGATAATTTCCTTAAACAGCATTAACCAGTTGATCTTTGTGACGGTAAAGTGCTGTTTTCTTTGCGGTACGGACCGAATTCTTAAATAATATTTAGATAGGCATGCCGAAATAGCTGTCAGCTCTTTCCTATAGGACGTTACAGTCCAAATGTGAATCTGCATTGTCCATACGTCTTCATGATTGTGATTATTTAAATGCAGAAACAATTATAAATTAAATTCTGTGGCGGGCCACGTTGTTTAAATTAACAGAAATAAATAATAAACATTTAGATTAGCATAATAGTACGTTAGAAGTGTCTCACTTAAAAATAAAGACATATCAGAATAAACTCCTATGACAGCGATGTTACGTCTACTGTCTACTTCGCAAACACGTCAAGAGTTCTGGTTCCACGATGAGAAACAAACTATTTGTCAACTCTGATGAACACGAAAATGGGTGTGAAGCTGTCGCCACCCCAGTAGTCCTCCTGATGCCTCATTAAGCAAGTCGTCTCCTTATTCGTCCCCATGTTACAGACAGACAGAAACACTGTGGCATTTCGTGGACTCTCTTAGCTTCGCTACTGCGTGATGAAAGAATTGAAATGCGGATATGCAATTTAATCTCTACGCATACCATACTTTATTTCTTTGGAGGTTAAATTTGTAAACATTATGAAATACAATTCTAATCTGTACGAAGAAGGGAATAATATTCAAATTACAAATACATCTACTAATAACATCGGGGTTGTAAACATAAATTAGGCCTGATGTATTGGAATCCTAATTAACAAAGCCAGCGAACATGTATTTTAAACAATTTTTTAATGTTATTTTCAGATCAAGATATGGTTCCAGAATCGTCGAACCAAATGGAAGAGGAAATACACGAACGATTTGGAGCTTTTAGCACAACAATATTACAGCTCCATGGGAGTCATGGCGCCCAGACCGATATTCCTCGGAGACAGACTCTGGTGAGTTGGATTACCTGTCACTGCACACAACGCAAAACACTGCCTAACCCAACCACGGTAAAGCAGTGATTCAGATTGGTATACTGAAACGTGACCTTATCAGTCTACAGTAACTTCAGTAACACCAACTTCGTTTGGTTCCTTATTTGAGAACTTGTGGCTACGCAACGTTTGGGATATAACTCGATAAAAATTGTTAATGTTAGGGCGCTAACCACTAGAGAATCATATTTACAGAAAAATATAAAGTACCCTTTCTATAAAATGGGGCTTGTCGCAATAAAATTAACCAAAAAAATTCAACGATTTCACTTAGTTATACGGAACCTGCATTAAAGCTATCGATAAAATTTAATTTTGGTCAGTAACGATGCAATGTAACTGCTCAAATCGAATTTCTCGCAAGACGATCATCGTAAAATACAGTGGCACATAATAAAAGATTTTGCATTAAATCGAGCATCATCAAGCAAACATATCGACTTACAGAGATTAGATATCTGTACAGAGTTCAGACATAAACCTGGTACGTCGTTTGACCTGAAGTGAACCATAACCTAACAAAAAACTTTGATCAAAGTAGCTAATAATAATAATAATTATGACTTACTTCCATAGTCTTCACTGAATATCTATTTCAATAAACAGATCACAAATTTTAACCTGCGAATGACTGTAAAACCGTAAGAAACGACAGATTAACATACTTTTGCACACAAACCTTGAAAACAACGCTCCAAACACACCATATTTCACTGGAGTTGAGTACCAGTATGACCAATCGAATGGTTCGAAATTTAAAATCACTAGAGGAATGCATCCATGCTAAACAACGTTATTTTAGGTTAATCTACCTTACGCCTGTACGGATTCTGGAACCTCAAGAAATTATTAAGTGAATCCTTTGTTTGAGCTAGTAATAGTTCAGTCAAATAATTTCTTGCCTTTTATGGAACCTGAAGGTTCATTGCTGTGTTCACAACAGCCCACCACCGAATCAACTACACATTCTATTGCTCTGCATTACATTTGAAAACATATCCTCCCATTTATACCTAATTTAATTAGCGTAATTACTGATAATTGCTGCAGTACGTTGTACATGGGAAGAATTTCACCCATTTTATTAAAAAATTGTTAATCGGCTTTGCTTTTTATTGCACTTAGAGGTGAAGTATATGTTGAAAATACACGTGAATCATTGATGTGCCTATTTTAAAGTGACAGTGTGACAGGAAGCCTCGTGAAAATAAATCTGTAATTACATTGTAAAATAGCTATTTTCACTGACTGAACACACTTGATAATAAATTCGATGGAGAACAGTCCTTCCTGACAAGCTGATAGTCACTTGGCAGTTCAATAAACTATAAATAAATACATGATTCTGTGCATAATTACTCGAACCAACTCTTGACTACGGGGTCTGAGGCGTGGGCCTTGTGCCGCTTGGTCGCTGGGACCGTGGGTTTGAATCCCACTCAAGCCATGGATGTCTGTCTGCGTTTCTCTGTGTTGTGCTGTCCTGTGTACAGGTAGAGGCCTTGCGACGGGCCGATCCCTCGTCCGAGGAGTCCTACCAAAATGTCTATAGATCGAGACAACGAAAAGTTGGGACCCGTAGTGCTCAGGCACTTGAAGAACGGGTCGTTCCCAGTAACTCCAGACACATCAAAAGTTAGCATAAGTGCCAAGTTAGTTAACTGTTGACATCTAAATATTTCATTCAGACACTGTAGATGTATTTTAAGGACCTAAGGACGAATCTTCTGATATTTAGTTATCGCAATCAAATTGCTGTTCCACATTCCACAAAAAAAATTACGTCAGAACCTTACAGGATGAGGTGCTAGTTTCACAAGTGTACAGTGCTGCCATGTTGGTATTTTAAACAGTAGGATAATGAAATAATATAAAGATGGGGTATGCCCTACTTGCATTTTCATACAAAGTTTAATTAAAGTAGGCTCAAAAGTTAAATTATTGTGGGGGGAGGGGGAACATGGGAATATATTTCTTGATAAAATAAGAAAAGTGGGTTAGAAATTGTGTAGAAGAAATGGACAATATCTATTAAGGTCTATAAATTTTATTGGCATTAAATATTTTTCAATGTGGTGTATAACTAACAAAATAAATGCAAAAAACAGAATTTATAAAAGGCAATATCAATGCTGTTGATCGTATCTGCGAAGAGTTAACGTACAAAAAGAAAAAGAAAAATGAACTCCGAGTCTCTATGCACGGAGACGTAAAATTAAAAACAATGAGACCGGAAACTTCATACTCCAAAAGAATACAGCAGTACTGAAAATTATTTTTTGTACTTTTCAGGTTCTTCAACTACCCACACACAGCACCCCAGCATCAGGGTCTCCCTGAGCCCTCGCTCATCTCAGCACCGCCTAATTTCATGCCGCATCACGGACACACACTGTCACCCCTGCTCGGCCTGCCACAGCCTCATCCACCCCAACACTGCCAACCCTTACCAAGCAGCTTAGTCACCCCTCATCACGGTTACCAACACCCTACCAACATGGGATTGGCGATGCATCAACCCTCGTCAAGTCAATTTTCCAGCACTTCCAGTTCTGTTCAAGGTGTTCCAGAAAATTCGAATGGTTGATGACACAAGAAGTTGATATTTTAATGTTCCTACTAAAACAGTGCAACTTAAAAGGAGGTCCACGCCTCGCAAGCAAAGTAGCCGATTAAACTATAAGCGGAAATGTTAAAATTTGAGGTTTTCGTGATATAATTCAGATTACGGTCTTACGGTTGTTACAGTCTTGTAGCTAGTTTCTTACATTTCAGAGCAATGTGCATTGCCCTGATGACGGAGGCAGTATGACCTCTGAAACGTTGGTAACCATCGACCAGACTACACAGTGCAACGACCCAGAAGACGGAAATCTTCTTATTCAAGATTGTGAATATAGTGTATGTACGCATACGCGTGTTTCCAGATCTACCACTGAAATTCAACATCAGCATCTTAGTAATTACAATTTTAATGACAGAATTTTCATAATGAAATTACAAATATAAAAATCTGTATGAATTCATTTATGTAAAAAATAAAAGATCCCCTTGTGCTTGTCTGGCTTTATTTCGTCTGTGGGCGCATACAAAAACAGGGTACACAAGTGGTTTCATTTACTATATTAGGAGAAACTCGTAAAAACACATAAAATATTTAGTAACATCGGCCATAAACGCATCTTCTTGTCTCTATGAATTATATGAAGATGCAAATGCTGAAATATGCAATTGTCTTTGGTGAAAAAAAATCATCTACATGGAGAACGCCTGCAAGTATGGGTAACTCCGACATAAACGACTCAATCTACAAGGTGTCACATGTTCGGAGATCACTATATAGGATGCCCTTCATCTCACTGGTAATACCGGGTGCGGCAGAGGAAACGAGTGTTTTTCAAATAACAATAACTCAGTTGATTTTCAAGTTAAAAAAATTTTAAGAAAGGTTTTACAATGCAGTTTTTGTTGAACATTTTTGAATTACTTCCGAAAAATAACGTCCATCAAGTGACGCCCTTCCTTCTGTACGCACTCTTGCAGCCTCTCCTCAAAATTCTGCATTGCTCTTCCCAACATTTCTTCCCGCACAGTAACAATTTCCTGGCGAATGGAATCTTTCAGTTCCTGGATGTTGCGTGGTTTTTCTGTAGACCTTTCATTTGAGGTAACCCCACAAAAAATAGTCACATACGGACAGGTCAGGGGAGCGAGGCGGCTGAGGGATATCACCGAAACGGGAAATGACATTTTGGGGAAACATGCCACAAACCACCTGCATCGATGCTCTCGCCGTGTGTGCCGTGGCACCATCCTGTTGGAACCACATTTGCCGCATACTGACCCTTCGTCTGCGCAGTTCTGGAAGCAGGAAATTGTTGAGCATTTCGACATAGCGCGCCTCGGGCTTCTGAGAACTGCTAATCTCACTCTCTCAACGTTTTCAGGGGTACGCACAGAAGCGGGAAGGCCAGGAGGTTTCCTCTTCATCGCAGACCCTGTTGTCCTAAACGCATCAACCCACCTGAGTATCGTGTTATGATCAGGGATGTTTCCACGGCGCTCCACATTGAACTGTTTACTGAAAAGGCACTAGAACGGCAATTACGGATTCACCACTTTTGATATAATTTTCAACGACAAACACCCGATGCTCGGGGGTCCACGGTGCCATGGCTACTGAAACTGCATCATCTAAGCTATCTACTAGCAAGGGGCGGAAATCCCCTACCCTTCTCCTTGCCGAGTACTAGCCATTCAAAAAACATGCGTTTCCTCTGCCGCACCCAGTACAAGCAAACTTCTTTGTAAGGACATGGGGGACCCTGCAAACCACACGTTAGAGTCGCATGTAAAATCTCATTGTCTATTATTTGTTTTGCACCATTTTAGTATAACGTTCCTACTTATCCTCCTAACTGTGTTAATTGGTATTTTGTGCGAAGGAGCCACGAGTACCTTTCTGTATATTTCTGAGCCTCTGTTTGAATTTCATTGGTGCTCTGTACTGTGATGGAGTCAGCCACCGTGGTACATTTTGAGATGATGGTTCTTCATATGCAGCCATTGCTACCTTTATCTGGGTCTTGCTGCTGTTGTTCACCTGTTTAAGACTAACAGAACATCAGTAATCAAAAAGGATGAAGATATTCTCCATGCTTGAAGATGCAATAGTTCAGTATCAACTTTAAAAAAAATGTAAAAAGTTAAAATATTTGAAAATGACAATAATAAATATAAATTATGGTCACTGAGAAATTAACAGCAAATTATATCTGGTAAATACGTGTTGCTACGTCAGTCATAATCTTTTATCTCCTACCTGAAAACTTATAGAATAAAACAAATAAAATTATAACTGAAGACCTGGGAATAAAAGTGGGCTAACGTACAAAACTGGAATAATAAAAAAAATTTAAACTCACTATCATCTTTAATTTTTACATACAAGAGGGTTAGGCTACATGTGGTTAAATTTGTGTCGTTCTGAATCTTAAAAAGTGGAATTACAGCATCCTTGCTTAACTTTATCCTCCGACCCCGTCGGGGATTGAACCCGGGTCGTCCAGAAGTAACCATTAGTATTAATTTATATTCGTTTCTTCCTGTTTCCTTTCCTTAACTTTATTTTTATTTCTCTGTTTTAATAGTGAGTGTTGCTCCCAGGTTCTCAGTTTTATCTGTTGCTTCATACGGCCGTGAAAAATTGCAGTGGCAGACTCGTGGAAGCTGAATGATGAAAATTTGAGTTTATAAAAGGCAAGACATTTCTTGACCGTGCGAGTGGTAGTGGAAACGATTCTGACTTGTATACAGGCGGTGCTCGGTTTTAATCTTAACCGTGGCACAAACTACACTGACTGATGGTTTCTGTGGATTCTCCCAGTCACTCCAAGTGATACCTTGAAATAACCGTAACTTCCTCCCCAACCCGTTGAAGTTTGCTGATGTCACTGGAGCATAACCAAAGATACAGTTCACAGTAGATGCATTTTTTTTGGTCCTGATGGTAATGTTACTAACAAAACTCACTTCTTAAAGCGGATGTTTCACTTACAAATTAATTTATGACAAACTACAAAACCTTAGAAGCATTTTCAACACATATCATGATGAAGCGAGACCACATATTCCTATTTGGCCAACCACATACAATATTTAACAAAACACATATCCCACAGACGTACAGGGTTAATACTTATGGATTTTATGGTAAATATCTTCTAAAAACAAATTATGTCATATCCCAGATAATTAAAATGTATAATATCTCCAAAAACTTTTATTTTAAAAAAAACCTTCATTCGGTTAAAATGTTTTCGTTGGAATACCATGACCTAGATATTACATTTCAATGTTTCATGACCAACTTTGAAGTACATATTTTTCCAGGCTGTCAGAATTCTGAAGCGATGCCTTCAGTATCTGCAGCAAAGGACATCTTATAACCCCTGCACTACAGCATACAAATGAAAGGTTCAACTCACATTTCTGTTCACGATGCCGAAGGTGACAAGACCCTAGATACGCCTAGTAATCTCTCTTCATCACTAGCTTGTTCCCTGGCCACCCGAGCATAAATCTCGCCGCTTTGTTCGTCTTCCTCGTCCAACATATCCTGCATTCGCTGTTTGTAACTGTGGGTAGAGCGGGGAGGAACAACGACAAAACCAGATATTTTGTTGTATTTGGTAATGTACTAATGTCACACCATAACACAAACATTCCAATTTATTTTAAAAAAAAACTACAGTAATATCTTCCCAAAATAGAATACTATTCTCAAATATGCATTTCTACCATCATCATCAAAGTATTTCACAACATAAACCTGTGGTAGCTTTACGATAGGTGGTACGCCAATTCAAACAACTTGAAGTTTCAACTATACACAGCCCATATCTTTGTTTAATTCAGTTCCAGAAAAAGTTTGGGGGAAAAATATAGCTCATAAAATTCCACTCTGGACCAAAATATTTTTACGAAATATAAAACTGGAGGTCTGTTAGTAATATCTTTTCAGAGAGAATTACATCTGGATTAATTTACATGTGACAAAACTGAAATCCCAATCTGGACTTGAGGATGTATGAAAGTAACGTTTACAGAATGCGAGGAGATTTAACACTGCGGCTTCAAATTATCCAAGACCACGAGGAAGGAAAGTACTATCACTTAATGTCTGCAACGTGATGTTGTACAGCCATCGAGATGCCATGTATATTTCACAATATAAACTTTATTAAATTATAACTCCAGATTTTGAGATTTCAGAGTTGAGTCATAAGTGATAAAGGACGAAAATTTAGGAAAGGCCAGTTTTGATGACACCTGCAAGGCCTGATCCAGGAAGCAGGAACAATGTCTTAAATATACACAAATTATTAGAAACTTGCAACCAGAACTTCTAACTATCCAGCTTTGCCCACGTTTCATGAACGTTAAAAGGGTATCGGTACATACATTTTTCAGGGATGTCCGTGTGCGTGTAACCAAGAAAACAATGACAACCATTATAAACAAAGTAATCGTGAATTAAAATTTGAGTACTTACATCTGACTGTCTGGATTATTTTCCTGATTTCTGCATTTCTCTAATTTCTTTTCCAGCTGACGAACCGTTTCCCTTGATGGATTCTCTATAGATTTGACCAGCGAACGAATTTCTGAAAATCACAATATAATTTATATTTAATCACCTCACTATTTATTCACCACTGCCATTTCTCTTGTCCCTTTACAATAAACAGTACACTAGAGTTCTAAGCCACTTCACTGAATAGAAGTCAATTTCAAAAGCTCTGAACGCATGTTAAATATAATGAAGTTTATATTTTACTGAATAAATTGTTTTCAATTAACAAGCACAAATGCTTTTTATTGGTTGACACAAGCTGGATGGGGACATAATACAGTTACTGATCCAGCACTACATACAAGTTGCTCTTGTACACTGGAGAAACAGTTACTCGTCCCTTCTCGTAGTCTAACGGGATCTGTAACTACATAGTTTATCGCAGTTATACATGTGCAGCGTTCTGTCCCCTCGATGCGTCTTGTATATTTCAAAGTTTTCGAGAGAGAGGGAAAAAAAAAATTATCTATGAAAAATACAAAATACGTAAAATTTTTATTCTGCCTCTAGTCTGACACATTTTGTTCGTGCGTGTCACCGTATTTGCTGTTTTGTGAACTGCTGTTCACATACAACTTGTGTTGGTTTCTGTTCTGACCTTTTGTTCTCTCCTCTCAAACAGTAAGACCGAAAGTTTAAAATACCCTATAGGGCCAGAACAGTTTATTTAATTCCACCTGTAATCTTATGGATGTAAAAAGTTGTCTCTTGTTTTAAGTAAAGGTCAGAGATTGGTGGTGATTGATAACATAGAATTCATGAGAACATTTGTACTTAAGAAAGAATTAGTAACATCTTAACGTAGAAAATTACATAACAAACTGCATTATTTATTGAATAAAAATTTTCTTGGATATTATCCATCGTCTAGTAAATATAAAACGTAAAACGACGTTTCGGAGATGGGACTCTATCTCCGTCTTCAGGTTCTGAAGAGTCATTTGAATAAAAATTTCCTTTTATATTATCCATCGTCTAGTAAATATAAAACGTAAAACGACGTTTCGGAGATGGGACTCTATCTCCGCCTTCAGGTTCCTCCAAGAAAATTTTTATTCAATTGACTCTTCACCATCGTCAAGAAGTTTTAGATTTGAACTACAAAAAAGGTTAAGTCTGTGTGATCAAGATTAAGAACAAAACCAGGATTCTGGTCCGTAGCAAAGACTGAGTCATTGGAATTCTCTACTTTGATCTCATTTTAAGACATTACTTCTATTTTTTTCAGACTGCAGAGAATTTTTTTTAAGTTGCCTTACAACATCTTATATAAGTCTACTCACTCCTGATGGCTTCGATAATGTTTGGCAATATATCGCTGGAAGGTCTTCCAAATAAGGTTTCTGTGACATAGGAATCCAGGTTTTCTTGTATCTTGCTGGCTGCATGTAATATGGCAGCCAAGGCAATCTGTGATGGTGCATACAGGAGACATGCATCTGTGAGGAATGAACGATCTAGCAATTCTTCAATCCCGGGAAGTAGGCGGTCTGGATCTTTCAATGAACATCTAGTCTATGGAAAAGAAATACCGAAGGAACATCGAGTGAAGTCATTCAAACCCAGGAAGTCCTTCTTACTTTTAAAAAATATAATTTCCATTTACATCTGGGAAATACATGGATAGATCAGAGGATAATATTAGAATGCATCTTTGAGAACTACGATGTGAAGGTGGAGACTGAATTAAAAAATCTAAGAATTTGATCTGTCAAAAGGCTCTTATTAAGATGATGATAAATCTTTGAAATATCATCTTTCTATTAGGACTCCTGTGCTAGGTAGTACTGTACATACCTTAATGTCTATAAGCAGACCCGCAACGGGTCGATACGGGTTATGTACCGTGAGATGGAAGTTCAGCTGTTGCATTAAAAGCAACTCGTCATTCAGAATTATGTCTGATGCTTTCTCTCGATCACCCTTAATGTTTGCTACAAACTGCTGTATTGAAATGTTAAATTCCTCCACTTTACATGCCAAATACACACATGTGACCCTGTGAAGGGACAAAAACAGTGTTTTGTAACATACTGCTATGAACATTGTTCATAATGAAACCGTTCTCATTTACCTTTCAATGCTGTAAGATATATAAGTATAAATATTGACAGGAGATAAAGACCATTTAATTATTAAAAACAAACAGTTCAGTATTTAACATAAATCACCATAAACCTAGATGAAATTATCAGGATTTGTTCAAAAGTTTAGATTATGTTCAGAGTATTATAATTATACTAACGATGCCACAGCCCTGACAAAAGATATCTATTGACAATTTAAACTATAAAATATTGCATTTTGTGAACAACTATTGAACATGCTACCATCTATGCAGTTTATGCTCGTGCGGTAATCCTCAAAATATTCAACGCAAAGGCTGTCTTAAAATTTCTCACAAACAAAGAACATCCTCTCTAGCAGCATGCTGTTGATACCGCCACCATTTTCTTGCTTACTTCTCGGACGGCTCCTGCCAAAATTGCTCAGCACTTCTGTTTCCTTACAAAAACAGACCTCATCTTGTAGCAGTTAAAAGAATCTTAATGAAAGTAGGATATACTGGATCATGCATATGATGTAGTAACACCCCTCAGAACTGGAGGATTTTATCAACCAAAGTTCAGAACCATCGACAGTTTAGCTCTGTTTTGATGTACATCAGTTTAGATTAATTTTGTTATTTAACACTACACAGGACTTAGAAATACTGTGGCTATGAAGTAACAACAACCTAGAGCATTTGGCATAATTTCAGATTCTCATGATGACAATGACTGTCTTCTGCAGGGCATTGGCCAGATGATCTTTTTCCATTATTAACAGCAATGGTACTACGCATCGACTTATCTTGTATGTACCACACACATGCATTAAACCTTATATAACTTCCTAGCAACAAAATATATCAATTTACACCTTATCTCATACATGGTCTCCTACCAACAACTAGACATAAACAAAGAAATGGAATTTTTTATTATAAACAGATTAAAGAGGATAAGAGAGCAACTTTCTGTTGAGCTCTGACATTCAGAATATAATTTTCTAATCTAATGTTGGGATATATAAGAAAATGCATGGCTTATTCAATGGGCTATGACTTACAGAATTTCTTTTGGATGATAATCCATCACAGAGTTGTGGAGGTAGAACCTCTTGAAGTAATGAAAAGCTGTTCCACTCACTGAACGTGGCATTGGTGGATTAAACCTCCGACAGAAGTCTCTCAACTGCAATTCATACTGTCGTAATAAGAGCCTCTCATCGGCTGCACTGAGGAATGTACGTTCACGTAGTTCTTCCTGAAACATATTATTAGTTTCTCATCCAAACTTTATTCATGGAAGCATCCAACTATATATCAACATACAAGGGCATTTCAACAGTATAGACTGTTATTCAAAAGAGAATGTCCAACTGTTGTTTGTCTGTAAAGTACACACAGTTGAGTCACATTCTATTAACAAGCAAAAAGTAATTGTTAGTATTGTAATTTACATCATAACTGTATTATCTGTGCTGCATTGATGAGACTCGAAGTGTGAGGAAAGCAGGTATTTGCTTTAGTTTTCTGTGATTTGTTAACTGGAATTCTGATTTAAAGTTTCTGTGAACAAATCAGACTGCAGACAAAACATGTTATTTGCCAAAAATGTATAATTAAAAAACATTCTTTTATAATGAACATCAATTACTTTTAGAAAATATGAATTAGTATGTTAGGCATTAAAGGGATTATTTCCAAGACCTGGAAACTTTAATAAGATGTCTAGAATCCCTGAGTCTCAACCATGGATCTCATTAGAGTTTTTCTATACAACTAAGTATTTCAACCCCTTCATCAGAGATTCTGTACCCAATAATAAAATAAATACAATGTAAGGCATTGCTCGGTTACCATTAAACATGCAGGGGAATTAAATACTTAATATTATATACACCGAGCATTAAAAGTTGTAGAATCCAAGTTATGGTAGAAGTACAATGACTCATTTATAGATTATAGCTAACTGGTACATTCTATTTTCTCATTAACGGAAAATTGAGTTACTCTGTAAAGATACTTTTTGAGCGGGCACTTCAGTAAATTGCAAAGTAAAGAACAGTATGAACACATACAGTCATATTTGCTCCATGCTTCAAAATAAATTTCCTGTTTGCTTCATGTCTTAAACGAATTAAATCTGTCTCATCAACAAATGTCCAGAATTTCTTTTGTGAACTCGCTGGAAACATACTTTAAATTACAATTATTTCACAATACTTAATGAAAACTATTAAATACAGGCACACATAAAACCTGCACTTCTAACAACCAAAACACGTTTCCACCATAGAACACAGTAATACCAACCACACGCAATACCAACACACGGACATAAATACCATGGTCATCCTCTCGAGCACAGACAATGAAATTATATGCATGAGCTAACTTACAAATAAACGTCATACATTTGAAACTGTGAGATAGAAGTGGTATGGCACCACTACCTTTTTAGGAAATTAAATAAGAATTAATTTGTCGTACAACTCATAAATGAATAACGTTAAAAGTACAAATTACAGCTCCGCGTAATGAAAATATAGTTCGAAATTAATATTCTGCCAGAAATGTATGAATGACAGAGTGTTTTTTGCCAAACTTTCGGGAATTTTCTTATTAATTGGTATAACTGTCTACTGCCAACTACGTTGTGCATATTGTGCCATCTGGGAAGAGGACTGCAAAACTTTTACAAAATTCCCGCGCGGTTCAAAACATGTGATGAGAGATGGAGGAAGTAGCCAAGTCGGTAACTACTGCCATCTTTAAGGCAAGGGAAAACCTACGCTGGGGCATCAGCAGTATAGAAAGGCACTTGTATTTCAGATAGTACCACCATAGTCATACGTAGTCGTATGTAAATCTTTATTGTTAGACAGTCGATACATCTGTTACGTATCAATTAAACATTTTTGTGTTGGAGAATTCAATTAAATTCAATTCTACTGATGCAACAGCCAGGGGCAAAAAATACAACAGACCAACTGCTGTTATTTTTTTTTGGGGGGGGGGAACCGGGGTGATAGCAATATTTCGGAACAACTCGTTGGAACAAAACTACGTATACTACTATGCCAGCAGATTTTGTTGGCTACAGCCGTCTTATATAATTTTGGACATAAATTAAACTGGAAGGTAAAATAAACCATTTATAAATTTATATTCTGAAAGGTTCTTAGGATGGATTTACTTTGCCCATCGTCTGGTGATACAGAACTACACAACATTTCGAGGAATGGATCCAGTAATCGAATCGTTGTGTAATTTTGTCCAGACAATCTATGTTTTGACTGGCGGAGGGGAAAATCCCAGGGCAAATTTACTATGGACAGTTTACAAATATTTAAAAAAAGCCCAACAATTTTTTATAGCGTTTGTTTCGAAGGTTACCACCAACTTCAGCCAGTAGTAATCAGATTTTCCCTCGATTCCGACATTTATAAAAATATCTTGGACGAGACTTGTATTCAACATATTTGATACCTGTTAGAGTTAATGATTATTTAACTACTTTACGGATAAATTAATTTATTTTTAACAACAAACAGACTTTAACATTTTAGAGAGTCTATAAACAAAGTTTACTTTATATATTATTTAAATCTTGTCCGTCTAATCACAATAAAGTCTTATTAAATATTAAAATATTACAATAATTAACATTTAATAATAATTAATCACTTTATTGTAATTAGACGGACAAGATTTAAATAATATATATTTATTATATCACAATATGACGCAACTTTACCATCTCATGAAAGTTTACTTTCTTTGTAAAATATTAATTTTTCAGAAAATCGAGATCGTTATTTAAACTTTGTTATACTCCCAAAAGACTGATAAAGCTAACCGACGATCTTAAACAAGGAAGGAAGATGAAGTTTCAGGATTTAAAACGAGAAGCTGAGAATAGGGAAAACTGGAGAGCTCTTTTTGGGCAGAGCAATGGACCTGTCGTAAGAGAGAACACTGAATAATAATAATATACTCCCAAAAGGAATTGCTAAATTAACGACCTAGGTTACAGCAGCGTGTACTCGATAACCTCAGTGTGCTTTCAGTTAAACTTCCTCACCTCAAAGCCCTTCACATCGAATGTGACAGTAGCCTACATATTCCAGGGTGTCGCTATGTCTTATACATTCCATAGCAGATTGCATTATAAACGTTAAACGTGTTTCTTTAATTTACATAAAGTTTTGAGGTTGTCGCTCTCGGCTCAGAAATCTATACGACTGCTCTTATGATGGCACACTTATCATTTAATCAGAAAGTATAAAATTGCAGTGGCCTTAAGCTGTTTGAGTTTTAAGATATTTCGTCAACTGTTTCAAACGTTAGGGCGTATTAGGTTTAAAGACACGTGGACATGATGACACCACAAGACTTCTTTTCCTTAAGAGCACCTCAGTTGTAGAAAAACATGAGTGTGTGAACTGAAATATCCTCTTGATTGCCCTCACCCCAAAAAAGTTTGTGTCCATTACATAAAAGGGCGGATTTATAACTTGTGTTGGGCAAGGCCTTGGTCTAGGCAACACGGAGTTTTCCTCCGTTGCATCCCAACAATTACTCCATTCACACACAGAAGAAGGCAATGGCAAACCACTTCTGGATCATCTGCCAAGAACGTATATGAACAGGTCCCAGTCCGAGAAAAAGATGGAAGGATCCTGTTTATATGGACCTGTCGTCAGACAGAACACTAAATAAATAAATAAATATGAAACGTCATATGTAGAATGTTTTTGTTTACATCAAATACAACATGGCGGGCGAGTTTTACCAACTACGTTCTCTGTACAAACTACAAGTTCAAGAACCAGATAAAGTCAGACAAATTTGCACGTAAGCTAACGCACTGAAGATTTAATGCTCAAAAACGAATAAATTAATGTACTAGACGTCGTTCAAGTAGCGTGTGACTGTTATCTCTCAGATTTATTACTGCAGATGGACATTTTAAACGGGATAGATATTTATGAGTTATATCTGCCAGATAATTTTGAATAATGCAGGGACAAGGATTGATTGTGTTATTCTTTGCTGCTGAATATGTGTTCCGGGCTGCTGAGTTGCAAGAGAGGTTTCCGATAAGCATTCTTAAAGTTCTTTGTTCGAGCTCTGAAACAAATACGAGTAACATGGTATTTTAATAATTCTAAACAGCCAGTGTCTTCGTTATTTCAATAAAATGGGAAGGTGGGGATTGGATTGAAGTCTTTCAAGTAGGGTATAATGGCGGTGGGATTATGTTATTACGATAGTGACATTTTGGGTTCTTTAAAACAGGAAACGTCTTGGATTATTAGTTCAAATTCTGAATGGGCCTAAACTGTTTGCTACATTAAGTTTGAAGTAAGTTAGGACGTAGTTAAAATATAATATTAAATTCGCTCTCAAATAAACATATTTTAAAGTTTTGGACTGGGTTTAATCAAACAGGTAGGAAAGAATGGATTTTAATGTGTCTTTCGGGCACAGTAATGGACCTCAGTTTTCCATAAAATATGTTAAATATCTCGACCAACTTCGTGATTGTCAACTTCTAGAGAAGGAACATGTTCCATGGAAGACCTCTGAAACTATGTAGGCATACATTTACAATGCTTAACCCTAGCGGAATAGCTGCTTATCTACACAAAGGTATTTTATTTATTCTTGGTTGTTTAACGATGTTTTCGATGACTGAGATGCGATCGGAAAGTTTCAAGACTGCGCGTATAAAAACCCGTACACTTATCTCAGGTATTAAATTCATCCATCACCCTCGAAGTAGTTCCCCTGGGAGTGAACACAACGATCCCAG